GTATAGCCATGCAACTGTAACTGCATACCCAGCGCATTGACTATACCCCCATTGCACTCCCATNGCAGACTTCAGTGAGCCCTTAAACCGAATAAGTCAGAGTGGCCCCACCGAAGCTCCCTCTCTTTCTGCCGTGACCCAAGGCTCCACTCGGATTGGTTACCGCATCTCGCACATGGGTTGCTCACGTTGCCCAGAGTGCGCGAACGAGGACGCAAGAGTCGGGATTGAGTATAGCCATGCAACTGTAACTGCATACCCAGCGCATTGACTATACCCCCATTGCACTCCCATTGCAAAAGAGTCACAACTCAAAATAATACGTTTGTCAGAAAATGCGAAAAACTATTTCGTAGCACATGATAATCATATAGGCAAGGGCGATTTTCCCTGAGTTTTTTCAACAAATTATAACAAAAATTTGCTCCAGCTTTTGCTGAAAGTTAAATAAAAGATCGGTGTACATTTTTCGCGCATAATCGCAAAAATGCCAAATTTTGAGTTGTGACTCTTTTGAAGACGGTGTGCGATATATTTCTTGGTAGCGGCAGAGTTGAAATGCGCAATGAGTTCGTTCATACATTCATATATGTATATGTATGTATACATAAATATATGTATACATATACATATGTATACATACATACGTGCATTCAAACATACGTATATAAAAATGTAGGTACTCGTACCCGTCATCCGTCGCTTTATTTCTTTTTTCCCCTTCCCTATACTACCTATATCTTCCTTCTCACTCATGTAACGTTTTCAGTTTTAAAAATTTCACTCTCTATTTTTGCGATACCGCCGCCTAAGAAGTTTCACTTCAAAAATTGTACTCCTTTTTTATGTCATGTACTGCTTTTTTTCTATCGAAAATATAAATGTACTCCTTTCTCCGTTTCTAAATCTGGCAACCCTATTGTAGTGTCTCAATAATTGTTTAAAACCACGCAGAAATATTAACGCACAAATATTAAAATTGTTATTTGGTTTTTTCGTATGCTCACAATCTACAATGNTTTTGAAGACGGTGTGCGATATATTTCTTGGTAGCGGCAGAGCTGAAATGCGCAATGAGTTCGTTCATACATTCATATATGTATATGTATGTATACATAAATATATGTATACATATACATATGTATACATACATACGTGCATTCAAACATACGTATATAAAAATGTAGGTACTCGTACCCGTCATCCGTCGCTTTATTTCTTTTTTCCCCTTCCCTATACTACCTATATCTTCCTTCTCACTCATGTAACGTTTTCAGTTTTAAAAATTTCACTCTCTATTTTTGCGATACCGCCGCCTAAGAAGTTTCACTTCAAAAATTGTACTCCTTTTTTATGTCATGTACTGCTTTTTTTCTATCGAAAATATAAATGTACTCCTTTCTCCGTTTCTAAATCTGGCAACCCTATTGTAGTGTCTCAATAATTGTTTAAAACCACGCAGAAATATTAACGCACAAATATTAAAATTGTTATTTGGTTTTTTCGTATGCTCTACAATTGCACCAAGATGACGTTACGCACACAGCTCATTCTGTCAAAATCACAAAGAGCGGATTAGCAGTACCGCGATTGGCGCAATCTCTGTTTCTCTCAATCGTGAAAATCACCAATATTTTTGCCGGTTTCGCAGCGTCCCAGTAGCGAATTTCAAGGTCATTGAGCACCCTGTATTGGCNGTTTCTCTCAATCGTGAAAATCACCAATATTTTTGCCGGTTTCGCAGCGTTCCAGTAGCGAATTTCAAGGTCATTGAGCACCCTGTATTGGCTGCAGTAGAAAATTGAAAGTTGGTATAGATATTACAAATATCAAAGGGAAAAGCTAAGGGGATGCCCCGTTTTCTAGGATGAATTTTTTCCCCTCCATACAAAAATTGGACCACTTTAATCTACATAGATATTTAATAAATTTTTTTGTAACTAACCTGCCGTCGTATTCGATAGAAAACGTTTCGTTTTGTCCAGTATGTAAGGCAGGTTATAACCATCTTTAGTGTATCTGTATAAAAAATAGATTGCAATGACGTTTAATGAGTTACCTTTCAAAACTATTTATCCATATTTACAAAAATGTATGTATTGCAATGAATAAAATAAATACTTACATTTCCGTGCGTTTGGTGCAGAAAAGATTTTTGAAATTACTATAAATGCAGAAAAGTGTAAAGGTTGGTAGACCTTGGCCTAAATAACGAGCAAATTTGATTTGATCCGCCTTGTTCAAGCCACTTTGGTTGAGTGAAAGAAATGGTCGATGATCCTGAATGTCGTATTCCTGTAAGAGAGATGACTATGAATTTATATTACCGTAAATCATTAAATCTTCTTTACTAAATATGTATTACATAATCTGCGAAACTTTTTTTCCCCGTAAGTAGGCAGAAATAGCTAGTTGTCTTTCTTGTTTTATTTTTCGGGCCAGACTTTTCTTAGGTGGCGGCCTAATCACTATCAGTTAAACTTCTGTAAAGATGTTTTTTTATACTCGCACTAAATTTATATAATTCTTATAATTAGTGAGTGGTGCGCTAACATTTTCAAGAACTTAATAAAAGTCCATATTAATACTAAAACATTATTCTAAAACCTAGGGCCTGTTCNAGTGAGTGGTGCGCTAACATTTTCAAGAACTTAATAAAAGTCCATATTAACACTAAAACATTATTCTAAAACCTAGGGCCTGTTAGAGGTACGTAATAAAAGCAACATTACTGCCACACTTTTCTTAGGTGGCGGCCTAATCACTATCAGTTAAAATTCTGTAATGATGTTTTTTTATAATAATAATACATAATAATAGACTGGCGCTTACACATATGTTAGTGTTTGGCCGAGCTTCTCCTCCGATTTGTGGCGTGCGGCTTGATGCTGCCACACAAAGCAGAGGGACCTACAGTTTTACTTCGACTCCGAACGGCGATTGTATTATTTATGAGAAGCTGTTTTTCATGGCAGAAATACACTCGGAGGTTTGCCATTGACTGCCGAGGGACGACCGCTGTTAAGAAAAAACCTTTTTTCTGTATTTGTTGCGATGTTGCTTTGACCAGGGATTGAACCCAGGCGTTGCGGAGTGGAAGCGCGCACTGCTTACCACTACACCACACTAAATTTATATAATTCTTATAATTAGTGAGTGGTGCGCTAACATTTTTAAGAACTTAATAAAAATCCATATTAATACTAAAACATTATTCTAAAACCTAGGGCCTGTTCGAGGCACGTAATAAAAGCGACATTTGCAACACCGTTGCAACTGCCCAAATGATAACACGTTGCTAGAAATTCACACCGAACATGATACTTTAATAATTCACGCAACATAGCGGTTGTGATTGCAACTCGAACAAGCCCCTAATTTCCTTTAATAAGTTACTGATCTACCGCTTTTTTGACCTTTTCAAAAATATCGTTACTTACATAGGAGGTGGGTGAGACATATTGTCATCTAATTCCCGCATTTTCAACGCCAACTTATCTTGCTTCAATGGAACGCCCTGAAATTCATTGAGATATCTAAAGTTTTGTTCGAGTTATCGTGTGCACGGGAAAACCGACGGATGGACAGATGCACAGATAGAAATGGTTTAATCGATTGTTCTTTTCATTCTCAACGTTTTTGTATACATATGTATGTATAGGGTAAGATCCCAATTTCGCCAGACCTATCTTATTTTCGAATTAACCAAATTTATGGAATAAGCAGTGGCATGTGAAGTTAANACGCCCTGAAATTCATTGAGATATCTAAAGTTTTGTTCGAGTTATCGTGTTTACGGGAAAACCGACGGATGGACAGATGCACAGATAGAAATGGTTTAATCGATTGTTCTTTTCATTCTCAACGTTTTTGTATGCATATGTATGTATAGGGTAAGTTCCCAATTTCGCCAGACCTATCTTATTTTCGAATTAACCAAATTTATGGAATACGCGGTGGCATGTGAAGTTAAGAAGGCATGAGTATCGGCTTGCTTGGGAAGGCGGCTCTTTTTGTGGTATCAGGTGTGAAAGGTACGCAAACACGTTACTTACCTATGTTAAATTCGAAACGCTGGTTTTTAGATATGTTCTAGAGAATATTTGTTAAAAATCAATATTCAATATGGCCAGACACTTTTCATGGGCGGTTACTTCCGCCAGCGCTTTAAGTTTTGCAAAAGATTTAGGAAGCTATCGTATTTTCTCAGTGCCAAATTTTTATATAGTACTAAGGGGATTATTTTAATATCATTGGTGAAAAGCCAGACCAATCCGATGGGCCGAACGTCCTCCCAGATGCTAT